GGGGTTATAAAAAAAAAAATTTGTAATCTGTAAATCATACACAGCCGTATGTTTACATTTATCACTGCTGCACTTTAAAAAAATGAAAATGTCTAGAGAGCTGTACTACACGACATTTCTTTTTGTATGTACAGAATGACAAATAAAGTCTGTCTGAGTTCTGTGTTTTTGCACTGATATTCTAAGATGTTTTATTTATATGGAGATCTAAGTCTTTATGATTGGAGGGTCTCTTTGCCATCACCCTAATTTTTAGTTCCAAAAAACAGAACAAAAAGGTTATTTTCTTAAAAAGAAATGGGAGGTGAAGTTGCTGCCAGGAGAGCCCACGCTTTATGAGGCACCTGAGTAACAGAGGAAATACTGACTGTGCTGCTCAGTGAATCCAGCTTTCATTGACCGCGCGGCTGACGGTTAGCTTTAGCGTCAGGCCATAAAAAGGGTTGAAAATGACTGAAAATCAATGGAAATCAACACATGGTCCTCACTACCAATAGAAAGACGAGTGTGTTTCTGTATGTGGCCCTGTTTGTGTTACCTTGTGGGGACAATTTCCCAGGAATATGTTACTTATACGTACTTGTGGGGACCAATGAATGGTCCCCATGAGGAAATGTTCCCGTCTTGAGGTAGGGTTAGGTATGAACCCGTAATGGTGAGGTTAAGGGTTCAGAGGTCACAGTTAGGCTGTAGAAATGAATGGAAGTCAATGGAAAGGCCTCACAAACATAGACAAGTTTGTGTGCTTTGTGTGTGTGTTATGAGGCACAAGTTCAGGCCGTTTCCAAAAGAGAATAAAATGTACACAGAGCAGCCATATTTTACTCTGGTTAAACCAGAACATTAAACCAGATGTCAGCAGTAATCCATGCCATCTATTAAAGTTGTTAAAATATCTATTTTCAAACGCATCCAGATAGGAAACTAATTTAACATAAACAGCTTCTAAATGATCACAGAGCAGCTTGGAAAGGAGGAAGTACAGAACTGATAACAGAACCTGTAAATCAGGTTAATCAGAGACTAAGATAAACGATCACAACCAGCTCCGTTCCTTCTCCTCCCTTAACAATGGGAGGATTTTGACTAACGGACACAGAGGGCTTTATGCAGGAACCGATCAGAAGAACATGGCGTTCTAAAATTGTTCCCGAGACTAATTCAGGATAAAATGTCTCCATTTTCCTGCCGTCTCTAATCGTCTTTCAGGTAGGAACTAATTTTCCTCCAGACTGACGTAGCAGTTTAGTTCCATCAGTTAGTTTCTTCCTAAATGACTTCATCTGTTGTTCCTTAGAAACAATCATCCATTTTATCAGGCAGCATCATTCTATACTCTGCAGCTCTACAATTCTAAATGAGAGAACTCTGGGTCCCTCCCCCAGCAGCCGGCATGTGGGGATCCAGGGGCCTCTGGTTTCTTTGGTTGATCCAGAGAATGAACAGTCAGTGACTCTATGGCTACGTTCACACTGCAGCCTGAAGTGACCCAAATCCCATTTTTTTGCCCATATGCGACCTGGATCTGATCTTTTCATATCAGTCTGAACAACACTGATCCAATTCTTTCCAATGTGACCCAGGCCACTTGGCTATGGGGTCCTGAATCCGATACGAATCTGATCTTTTCAAATCCGACCTGTGTCTGAACAGCCAGGTTGGATTCATCCGACCTAAACGTCATTAATACCCGACAAAGGTCACTATTATGCGTCTTGCTACGCAGAAGCGGTGATTCAGAGAGTTGTATTTATGTTTAAACATATTGAAAAGACTACCATCCATGTTTACTTCCGGGGAAAAAAAGAGCACGCTGGCCTGTGACGTCATTGCGTCCTCTGCTGTGCATGCGGGACACTTGCGTTGTATGACTGCAGTACACACAGGAGATCACATACAAGTCGCATATATTTGGAAATATGAACGGCAATGTAAAAAAAATCGGATTTCGCAAAAAAAATCGGAATTGAGCATCAAGGCCTGCAGTGTGAACGTAGCCTATGTGAGATC